AAAAAAAAAGAAAGAAAAAAAAATTAATGCAAATAACTCTGCTCAATTTTCTGAGTCCATTTAAGTCCACTGGTGAGCCCACTAGTGACTAAAATGAACAATTTTCGCAATTTGCCGTTCATAATCTGCACATTCGAAGTGCAATTTCCCAATTTCCCATGCGCTTCCATTACAGGTGGGCTAAAGTATGGCATACCGCTACACAGGTTGCCTACCCTGGCGCTGCAGGCGACTGGGGGGCCGCTTCTTTCCTACGGCAAGTATACGGCGTGCGGTATCTGGAGTCCTTAGTAATCTTTGATCTCGACGGCGCAACTGTTGAGGGAATTAGGTGCAACTGTAGCGAGTTTGTTGCACCAACCGAAATTCCCTGTCTCGACGCGCACGCATGTGTTCCTGGAACTTTTAGGCGGGAATATTTGAACAATATTAATTTTTCTAGGTTAAACGATGTCAATTGAGATAACTGAACTGATAATTATGAACGGGAGATAAGTAATATTTTGCGTTATGTCGACCAGGTATAAAACAAAAAACAATAACATAACTCAGATATGAATAAAAAGAAAATATATTTGATAAAATTTTATTTTCCTGCTGTAGTGATATGCTACAAACGAAAATATAAAATCGATACTGAAATGTGTACAAATATTTCTAAATAATAACCACTCCGAAATAAAACACCCGTAATACACTCCCGCTTCACGTGTAACTACGTGTAACCAGCGTTTATCAATTCAAAACATCGAAGGTAAACAACTGTTGAGGTTCCAGATTTCTGACCTTGAAAGTTTCACTTATAAGTGAAACATTTTTGACACACTTCCTTCCTTCAACAGTTGCGCCAATTTCCCTCAACAGTTGCGCCGTCGAGACAAGGCCTTCTATTTCTCGGCCATTTCTGCACGGAATGCCTTGAAAATTTCAAGATCTAATCTGTGATGTATCCCGAACACATCTATGAAGTACTGTTTGGGCAAAAACTGCTAACGAGAATAAGCAGAGTTTGTAGGTGGGCTGGACGCTGTAGACATGCTGATGACTGGTGGTCACCATCTACCATCAAATTTTGACGGACCGCACTTTTTTGTCCTCAAAGATCAGACCGGAGTACCACCATTCATCATTCCCTGCCACCGGAAACATTTCTGCCAAGTTTTCATTTTAAAACGAAGCAAATTAATGAGTTTCAGACTGATGACTCCCGACACTTTGATGCTACTATGATCGAAATTGGTTCAGGAATTTGATCGTCTATGCAGGCCTAAACATAAAAAGTAATAGTTACGAGTTCTTAGCAGAGCCGGATTTAGGTTTTTGCCGCCTGGTGCCCAGAAAATTTTGCCGCCCCCCCCCTTCCAGGACTGGGTAATATCTTATAAGTAGAAACACGCGATGCGCACGGAATGTGAGTTTCAAAAACACGGCAAAAGCGAAATCCGATTCTTCGGTAGTCAGAAAAATGCGCATCTGTGCCGGAAAGTGTTGCAAACAAATATTTTAGGCAGAGGGAATGATTCTTCAAGGATTGAGGATTCGAGACACAAAAAAGGCGAAAATGAAAAATTAAATTAAATGTGGATGCTAAAGTGCGAAACCTCGTAGGTATTTCCGTCACGTTGTTTCAGAATTTCCGCTTCTATTTTATTTTTTCAAAATGAAACAAGCAAACTTTTTATAGATTGTGATTTATAATTATATAGAATGCTCTGCTTACAGGGAAAAAATTCAAGAAATTGCGTTGACTACTTTTCATTGAGTAAAGTATCACAGAAAATTTGGAACGTCGTAAACGTAGATTCGTGGTTTCGCACTTCGGTCATCGATGAACCTTCTCAAGTTTTCGAAAAACTTGCGGATTAATTTAGTTGAGAAGAAGACGGCCCTCCCCTCACAGTTCATAGAGCCGTAGACGTACCTAGGTCATTTTGCTGCATGGGGGACTGCCCCACCACCGGGGGGTCTGGGGAATACGGAATACCCCCAGCCCCAAGTAGCGTGAATTGCAATTTCATTGCAATGGATTGTGAGTTGATTGCAATTTTTGCTTGTTGCCTATACGTTCATTTGAAGGCGCTGAAAAAGTTGCAATTTTATTGGAATGAACTTGCAAGAAATGTAGGTTATGCTTGTTGCGTACCTTTCTTTTTCAAGGCACTATAAAGACTGCAATTTCGGTGCGATCATGTTGAAACAAATTCACGCCATGTGCCTGGCATCCAATTTTCTAGTTATTTCAAAGTTTTTTCGACTTAAATGTCTCACCTAACCCATATAGCCCAACATATTTTGAAAATATTGTCACATTTATCAAAATATTTTCATGGCAATATTGTAATTAAAAAAATTTCAAAATATTTTGAAAATGTTTTTAAAACATTTTAAAGAAATTTTTTGAAAATGTTTACAAAAAATATTTTTAAGATAATTCAAAAATATTGCCTGTAAACATGCATGTTAAAAATATTCGTTAAGAAAGTTTTGAAAATATTTTAAAAATATTTTTTGAAAATATTTTTAAGTTCTCAAGTTAGTATGTGGTGTAATTTACACCGGTGTAAATTTAGTGTAAGTAGGTACCTATTACGTGATATCGAAAAAAAAAATCATACGAAACAAATATGAAAAAAAAAAAAAATAACACGAAAAAAAATAAATATAATAGGCAAAAGAAAGATGCCTGAGAAAAACGGCGTTAATCAAATCTATGATGAAAGTTGAGCCGCGCACTGACGCAATGCATGCTATACCTAACAGCCATAACAGGTGTGATTTCAACCCAGCTCACCATCAGCTCCCTGTGGCTCAGTGGAAGAGTACTCCGCTATGACATTCGCGGGTCGGGTTTAAGCCCACTCAAGGGCGTTCGGTATTTTATGCTGCTAAACGTCGTAGGACATTAGGTAAGTATGGGTTCGAATTATTCTAATTTCCCCGGAAAATTTAGGGGTTGAAATTTAAAGGTCGTCAATATTGAAATTTCTTTGCAAAAAAAAAAAATTGCAACTTTTTTACAATGAGGGGGTCAGATGTTGTAAAATAATTGCAATTTTCTTGCAAGAAAGTTGAAATCATCTGGAAATTTTATTTAATTTAAAT